TTTGGCTCCAAAGTTTCCTCTTCTATCAACAGCCTCCCATATCCTACTGCTCTGACAACACAGGTATATCCATGGCTCTCTGTCAAGATTTGTCAGCCTCAGCACTGAAGACTCTCTAAACCCAGTAATTCCCTGTTTGAGGGGCTGTCCTCTGTATTGAGGATGTGACCAGCATCCCTGGACTCCATACACTACATGCCCCTAGCATTGTCTCGCCCCTCCAACCCACAAGCTGCGACCATCTAAAGTGTCTCCAGGTACTGTTCAGTGTCCCCTGGAGAGAAAGTGTAAAATGACTCTGAACTGAGAACAGCTCTACATTTGTAAACACTCTTCCCATTACCTGAAATAATTCCCTCTATCTCTACAGAAAACCTTACTCACTTTTCAAAACCCATCTTCGATGTGAAGTTCGCCTCCAGTCAAAGTTAGTAATTTCTTCCTCTTCCTTTTATACCACTTAGCTTATTTTTCTATTTAATGACATAAGACTATATATGTTCTTTCCCTCTAGATAGGCAGAATCTCCATCTTACTTATTCATTGCATTTTTACTTATTTTAAGTGTTCAATAAAGGTTTATTACTAAATGATTATGAGCTTTCTATTAAAAAACAAAACAAAAGAAACCATGAGCTCCCATAACCTTCCCATTGCCAAGGGGAAATTTGGTTTATTGAATGATGTCTAATATTGAGCAATATACAATCATCTGGTTCTTTTTTGCCTTTGTCCTGGGAAATGAGAATTAAATTATATACTCAATTTTAGCCACCCAAGATTCTTAGTATATCTAGTTCTCTAATATTTTTATTTGATCTTTATTTAGATTTACCTTTGAATCATCTATTAGGATGTTTTGCCCTCAGGAGTTGTCCCAGATTTTTTTTGGAATGTGAACAGATAAAACTTAGAAACACAGAAATATAAAACCACGACTTTTATACCGTAAAGACCATATTTTTCGAGAATAAAAATGAAAAAGGACTGAATTACTCTAATCCACACTGAACAGTAATTTCCAAAACTGGTTCTATGTTAAATCAATGTCTCTCCAATAATTCCAAGAGATTCATAATATTTCATAGAATTTCCAAAGAAAAACTTAGAAAAATCTGTCTTAATTTTGTGTATATATACATATGCATCTAGATGATATATAGGTAAGCCAACACTTCCCTGTGAGAAAGGTGAACAAGCCAGGATCCTGGAAATCAAACAACAACAAAATAAGAAGTGCCATACTCCAAAAAAGCTGGAAATCCCTGACCAGGAGAAACCTCCAGAATACTGTGCCCCAAGGCAAATTTTCCAGATCAGCAGCTTTTGTAAGCCTGATATCCACATCATTTCTTCAATGTTAGAATTGGTCTCTGTAACCATAATTTTTAAAAATCTCAGCAATGACAATTTTAAGTATCAGTCCTTTCTAATAAAGTTAATAATTTTAAGTCATAGTTTTCCTACAAATAACTCAAGATAAAAAGACATTTAACTTAGTACCCTTAGTCAATTCTGAAGGCGAGGCAATTAATTAATCATGAAAGTAGAATCCACCTATATTGGGCTGGACAAACGTCACAGAATAAATATGCTAATCAAATATCCTCTCGTCTGACAAGTTTCTGTTATTAAATTGCTAACGTGTTTATTTCCTCCACAATAGTTGGATTGTTGTCATGAATATGCATTAAGCCCTGCAGTTATTAGCCTGGCTGACTAGGTGACAGTGAGGACACTACTTGAGAATTTGCATTTGACAGATCACTGACACAGAGTCACAGTTATCCACCCCCCTCACTTAAACAGGACTCATGTAATAGGAAATGAACTGGAGCTATTAGAGATTATTCAGGTTTAAGAGCACACATCCCTTTAGCTGGTGGTTAGAACAATACACAATGTGGCAGAGTTAAACAGAGGCATCAATTATACTCTCAGACCTGTTAATATTTTTGACAATATTTAAATAGCACATCCCTTCAGGCCATGGCTTTTTTGCCCTCTCAGTTACACACCTGTCAAGTGTTTAATTTGCCAAAGGGAAACAGTTTGATTTCTAAAGGCTGTCTTAATACTGAAGAAGCAAATTGGAAAAATTAAACATTATTGAAAAGAGGCAGTGAAAAGGATCCGAGGGGGAAAAAATAGTAGGTTTAATTCAACAAGGCATGCTAGCATCTGTCATTAATACAACAATATGATCATGTTCCCCATATGGTGAATATACCTTGGGCTTTTCAATTATTCACTCCCTTTGCTTTTAAAAGGCAAAATGATCACAGACAAAAATTAAAGGGGTCAAACTTTTCAGTAATACTAAAAGAGACAGAGACAGTAACTTGCTCCTATCATGCATATAAAATTAAATACTTGAAAATGTAATTTAGATGAAAGATAATAAAGAAAAGCTGGCCATTCATCAGATTTGTATAGCTACTGGATTAAAAGCACAAAGTTCACTCCTATGATGCACTACTTAAATATTAAATTACAAACAGTAATAAATTAGCAGTTGGTAAATGATATAGAAAATTTAAATCTAACATGATAACACTTAGAATATATAAGTTTAACTTTAAAACAGCAAATATTACAAGCTTTTGAAAATTTTCTCTAGTCTGGCAAGGGAAAAAATTTAACAAATGATTTTGAACTGGTAAAGAATGGAGAATAAAGTGAAGAGTACAAAAACTGTGGGACATTATCTATGGTTTCAACGGACAGTAAACTCGTGGCATCTAGGCACTGTTAACCTTGGTCTGGGGGAGATGAGACAAGCTTCAGGGTCAAATGAGGGAAAGGTCTGTACCTTGGGGGCCAAGAAGTCCAAGTTCTACCCCTGGCTCCACTCTCTGAACTAATCTGCTATAATCAGCAGGGGATGAACAGATGGTTTCCACAGTCCCTTTCAGTATTTGAAGAGGAGACCAATGAGCCAAAAACAGGAAAGTCAAACACACCTACATAATTCACGAACATCACAGCCTTGAAATACAGTTGACCCCTGCACAACACAGGGGTGAGGAGTGGGGAGAGACATCAATTATGATGCAGTCAAAAATCCAAGTATTATAGCTTTGACTCCTCCAAAAGTTAATTACTAATAGCCTACTGCTGACTAAAGTCTTACCTATAACATAGTCAATTAACACATACTTAGTATGTTATATATATTATATACCATATTCTTATAATAAAGCAAACTAGAGAAAAGAAAATATTATTAAAAACATCATAAGGGAGGGAAAATACAAGTTTGTACAGTTCACACCCAGGTTATTCAAGGGTCAACTGTATAATAGCATTTGTCATTAATAAAATGAGATCACCCTGTCTGTAGCCCTAGACTACGGGGCTCCATAATATTATCCTCAATAATTTCCAAAGAAGTTTAAGTTGAATTACCTGGGACCCAAATAGTTTTAGATCCCATATCCTAGTTTCATTTGGAAAGGGTGAAACAAGCTCAACAATAAGCAGTCCTTTTTCCCCCTTCCTTTCAGCAGACCTGGTAAGTACAAAAGCTATTGCCCTTACATCAGACTAGACAGCAGCTGCTTCACTGGCATTTCCTACCATAATCACTAGTAATTTTTCTTTCAACTTTCCCTCTCATTCGAGTCACATTTCCACATAATACAATAAGGGGAGAAGGTATTTGTAAAACATCTTCACATTGTTTAAAAACCAGGTAATTTTCTATACCATAATTATACTAATAGCCATAATACTGGTTTCTCCAAAAGAATGCCAACCCATTCTGAAAATGAGTACCTGAAACCAATTTTTTCAATAATTTACAAAGGAAAGAAACACAATTATATATAATGAAACCACCTCTTTTTCTTAATTCATGATCATAACTTTTAAAATCATTAGGTACAAATTCACTTGAGGGAAATATTTTTAAAGATTCTTTTTGATCTATGTACTTAACTTGGGGGAGGGCACCAAAATAACTAGATTAAGAAGTTATATGACATTTAACAAATTCCTTCTCTATTGCTACTATTGTTCTTTTTCCATTTGGCAGATTTGGGGGGGGGGGGTTTGTTGTTGTTAATTGAAGCTGTTCTTCAACTGAACTATGAAACTAGTCTTCAGGTTTCATGTTAAACTTTTAAGGCAGAATATTGGCTAGCCAGTCATCCATAACCATTAGATTAATGCTAAAAACATCAGAATGAGAATTAACTTGGGCTGAAGACATAATTAGATTAATTTCAAACCTTGTGAGGATGACAACCATTTAAAAACTATTTTTTAAAAACCTGAGAAATGGTGATTGCATTAAGTAAGTTCAGTGACCATCTGACTTCAGTTTTCATTCTGTCATTGCATTATGTTTCAATTTTAATATAAACACTAGGACTTTTTAATGCTCATAATTTTTACAGAAATAAACACTGTTTTACATTTAGAAGTCCTAATGTTTATCACCATCTGATGCTGTCATGGGAGCAATTGCTACTTACACTCTTTTTAGAAGTGAGAATTGCAATTCCTCTAACTGATGACAATGTAATTATTTCTTCTACTGTCAATATAGAGGTGATTTCCCTTCCTTGCATACATGATTACACATGCAAATCCAGGCTCATCTGCAATCTTGTAAGTGTGCTGAATGTCTGAATTTGAATAAGCACAATCACATGAACCATGAGTCACAGTGATGACGGAAACCAAGCTACAACCACCCACCCTAAACATATTTTTATCATCTTCCTCTCCTGCAGGAACTCATTCTTCCATTTTCCCACAGCTTTCAACACAATGTCATATCATTTACAATATACAGCCACAACCATTAAGAAAATAACTGAGGGCATGGCAGGGTGGGGAGCCACAGTGAATATGAAGTCTCACTTGGAGGTTTAAATGACTTCATTAACAATTAATTCACACATACAAAACTCAGCCTTTCAGAAAACACAGGAGACTCTACAAGCTCGGGGCCATGCTATCCAGGCCTCAGGCGGGCACGCACCGCGTCTTACCTGGTCTTTCAGCTGCTGTATGGAAGTCTGAAGGGTCAGAATCTGGCTGAAGAGCGGGCTCTGGAGCACTGACTTGAGAAGGCTCAGCTTGTCTTCATTCGCTGCGTCCCCACGTTCCCTCAGCTTGGCCTGCAAGCGCTCTGCTGCCTGCACGGCCCGATTTTTGTCTGAACCAGAGAGCAGCATTAGTCAGCAACAGGATTCAAAAGACAGGCGTCAAACCATGCTTATAGAAATTCTAAAACTACTTCTTGGGAGAGCCGAAAACTGACTTGGAAAAAAGAAGGGACTAAAACAGGTCACCCTAAATACATTCTTCAAACCTTGAAGCCTCTAATAAGAAAGTTTGTTTAAAAACAGTCAACTGGTTATAGTGCATGGTATACGCAACTAATGGTAAATATGGAAACAAATTCAGACGATGCATATCTGGTATGCTTCTAATACCAGCTATTTCCACTCTTATAAAAACTAATTAAAACCAAACATTCTGTGATCTTATAAATGCTATTTTTTTTATTAAAAATGTATATATAAGAAAAATGAGAAATAGAACTAATAAGTAGAGGTAAATAATATCACTGATGAACTATAACATCCAAAATAGAACAATTTCATGTATTAAGAGGCAATGCATTATATACTTTTGCATTTACCTGAAAATACATTACAATAACACATATTCCTTCAAAAACACAATTTTTTAATGCTTGGAATGTCTTTCCTCCAAATTAAATAGCATATGTACATAAGCATAAAACTGAATACAATTTATTAATCACCTTGTATAAGGTACAAAGGTGCCAACGTTAGTATTTTCCATAAGTGTATCCTTAATAATCCTAACATCTAACATGCAAGACTCCAGACAGTTAAATGCTATCACAAATAATAGGTAAAACATCTCTCAAAATCCCACTCTCACTCCCTCTCTCCCTTCCACACAAGTGAAGCTACAATTTTTAAAAAATACTGGAGAGTGCTCAGATATATGCCCTAAAGATTCTCAATGATACCTATTAAAATATATTTGCCATATCATAGTAATAAAAAAGAGTGAGAACTATCACTAGAGACATTTTTTGATAGCAAAAATATGATTACACAGGAATGGAGAAACTAAAATATTAACTAATGCTGACCATGAGTTCATGCACAAAGTTAAACACTCATATGCAGAATTTCAAAAGCAAACAGTAATAAAGGTATGCCTAACAACTGATTTTAGGTCATATTTCCCATGGTGTCTCAAAAAACAAATCTAATATGAATTCTCTCGTCAATTCTTAAAAGGTGTACAACTCAGTAACAACTTACAAAATGAAGATTATAAGGTAATGGTTTAAATAATTCTGTATTTCCCCTTTGCTGCCCACTTTCTTATGAGGAACTTTCCTGTGTAAACTATTAGTCTTTACTCTTGTGTGATTTTAGTATAAAATAGGTGATGAAGGAAATGTGCACCCATGCATTCTTTTTTATGGTCATATTACCAGGAACAAAAGTCAACAATAATGATCCTCACGATTACAAAAATAGCTCCTCCTTTCCTGCCACCCACTTCCCACTACCCCTCAAAACCTGCAGGTGTCAAGGCATCAGCCATGATCATCAAGGCATCACAGACAGCTTCCAATACCTTCCAATAATCACACCCAAAGAGTTCCCTGGAAAAGGTGAAGACTGCAGTGTCAGATAAGGGACCATGATAGACTGGATATTCCATACCTGACGTACCTGAAACCAGTNATGGAACTCTAGGGAGAAAAGAAAATGAAATGGTTATGTTTTACAACTTTAAAGTTATATTCTAAAACTAAATATTTTAAAAAGCACTTGATACTACTATGATTCCCTCTGATCATTAAGATATTGTGGAGATAACTTAAGATAGTTTTCTGCATAGGCAAAAAAAAATGTATTCATTTTAGGATTTATTCAAAATTATCTGATATTTGCAGGTAATACTTATATAATAAGGTAAAAGGCATAAAATCTATTTTAAATAAGTTGGTGCTCAGTTGCTCAGTCATGTCTGCCTCTTTGGGACCCTTCAGGCTCCTCTGTCCATGGAATTCTCCAGGCAAGAATACCGGGGTAGGTTGCCATTTCCTCCTCCAGGGAATATTCCCAAACCAGAGATCAAACTCACATCTTTTGCACTGGCAGGCGGATTCTTTACCATGAGCCACCTGGGAAGCCCCAAGTAAGTTGGTAGAAATATTTCCTTAAAAGCTCCTCAACAGAGCCCACTGTAACTCTGGATTCACTTACAGATCCTTAACCAAAGTGGAAGGAGCTTACGGGGCTCTGAAGGAGAAATTCTGTAGGCAAAAGAAAATATTTTTAAGATAAAAAGCAGAAGATATGACCCTGCTGTTGAATGTTCCTAGTCTTAACTGGGAAGCCAATTCAGACACACCAATTAAGAAATGAACTGTGATGCTCAATCAGTGAGTGAGTGCAAGATATATTAAACCATGGATGAAAAACTGAATAAAGGAGAGCACAACATTCAAAAGATATTTTACATTTTTAAAATACCCTCCTGTCAATAATCGTTTTCCCTACTCAAAAAAACTCCTTCAACCCACAAAGATCTCATCTTTCTCTGATTATACTCATCTAACCTTTGTCAAGTACTGGATGCAGGTCTCCACTGACAATACCCACATCACTAACCCATCCTGAATCTCTGCTGTCCAACAGTCTTGTACAACAGACTTCAAGTTATATTGATCCTTCCCTTTGCAGAAAACCCTGAGTCATCAGAAGTCCGTGGGTCATTCCTTCAATGGAGAAGAGGAATTCAGAACCAGACAACCTCCTTTTCATCTAGAACATGAGATAGGGGACTTCTCTGAGAAGGAACAAGCTGCCCCTCTGTTTGAGAAAGAATGCCTTTGGGAGAAAAGGAAGAATCTGGTATGCAGGAGCAGATGCATAGACCATCAATGCCTGCACATACCTCTGTGTAAACTCTGAGAATAATACCTACTGACCTTTCTTAAGCCAGGTGGGATGTACAATTTAAAATGACTCCATTTCAAATAGTCAAACAGCTCAAGTACTGACATTGTATTAGTAAGTCTCATAACATTTTGAAAAAGTAAAATTATATACATGAGTGCTTGGTATGCACAATAAAATTTAATTCTATGCCCTTTCCCCTATAAAAACTTAACTCAGAAAGATAAAAAGTCAAGAAAAAAGAGCACTGATTCTAACTTGGAATTAAGAGTGATACAGCCTTGAACAAGGGGCCTATCATATGAACCTTGGTTTCCTAGAAAACATACTTACTCTTTGGGTATGTTATGAGAAGTGAGATAAACATACAAATTTCCAGCTCACTGCAAAACACCTACCTCTCTGCTTTTATGATTAACGTTGGCCACATGTAGAGGAGCATTCCAATGCCAAACCTTGCATGGTTTCACAGGGAAAATATAGGAAGATCTTAAAGGACAATGTAAGAATCCTTCATAAAAGAGCATTATTAGGTCCTCTCTCAAAAAATTATTAACTTCTGACAAACAAACAAATGGAAAGATACCCCAACAGAAGGAAGTTCAGGACTAAAACATGTAGTTAATGCAACCGCCCCAGAGGAAGCGTGACAGTAATCAAAGGGCATCGACAAGGGAGTCTGATGACCTGAGTGAAACTTTCACCCTGACCATTTACTAGCTCTACATCCTTGTTATGTCATTTATCTGTCTTTTCTCAACTTGAAATCTCTAATTACAAGTGAATGGTATTCATAAAGTTTGAAAGAGTAAAATTATTTACACAAGTGCCTGGTAGGCACAATAAAATTTAGTTCTATGCTCTTTCCTCTATGAAAAATTAACTTCGAAAGATAAATAGTATTCATTGCTTGGTGGGGGATGGGGATTGGCCTATGGATTCAGAGGCCCACTGATTCATGGAGTCTGCAGAGAAAGCACAGAGTAAACAGTTCTCAATTGTGAAAAACCCTGGCATCCAAAAGTTCACCTACAAGTCGGTTATGCGAAAGTAGAACTGCTTATTCTTTCAGAGAAACCCTTATCATAAATGTTTATATATATATATATATAAGCCTAGACTATTCTGCAAGCTTTCCAAAGACACTAATGGTTGGATGTCAAGAGGTGGAGAACAATAGAAGAAAATTTTGAGCTGCATTTCTTCTGAATTTTAAAATTTTTTATCAGTATACGGTGGCCAGATTTAGCAAATAATAATACAGGATACCCAGTTTAATCTGAAATTCAGATAAATGAATAAATTCTAGTACAGGTATATCCCACACAATACTTGGGATATAATCGCACTAAACACTAACTTGTTGATTATCTGAAATTCAAATTTAACCAGGGATCCATTATTGTATCTGGCAAGCCTACTTATGTATGTATTAGCTTAGGAAAAATGCAAATTTTTAAAACCATTTTTAATCTAAGGACTCTATGCTTCCTGCAGAACTTTAATGACAAACCCTTTAAAAATCCTCTTAATGATTTTAGCTGTGACCTTTTGATTTTCCCAACAACTGGTTGATAACACGAGTTCCAATTGAGGATAAAAATCAAACAGCTTCTTTCATTTCTTTTAGAAACAGAAAGTGATTAATTAGGAATCATTTTACTTTTCAACAAGTTGTACTGGTAATATGTAGGCACAGCTTTTGTGTAGTTGAGAATCAGTACTTGAAACATGAAACAAATCATTCTTGCCCAACACAGACTATATGGCAACTAACAAGTGAAAATGCCTTATGCTAAAAATAATTCTACTAACAGAAACTGCCCCAAATGCATACAATTTTCTAGATATCTTCACTATTTTGACTGTAAAAGGAGTACACCATTAGAAGAGATTGCTGCAATGGTTCGCGGCTTGTCAAAGTTGCTCAGCATCCGTTAATGCCTTTAAATTTAGCATTCGTCTCATTCTTAGCTGTCTCAGCACTACCTGAAGTTAGCAGACAAATGCAAGGCTATAGTCATCTGTAGGCAGCTTGTCATAAAGTCAATTGGCCATAACAGAAAAACTGACACTGGGAGTCATAATTCACATTCTAGGGTTACTGAACTACTGCTCCAAGAGCACAAAAATGTCCAACTACCCCCCAGCATCATGCAATCATCCAACATAAAACAGTCAGCTCTTTTTAGCATCTGTTCTGTAGGACTTCTCCC